GAGGAAAGATGATGCATTCACAGAGGTAAATTCAACATTTCCGCCTCTATGGGTAATTAACCATAACGTAGAAGTAGCACAGCAAGCAGTGAGAAAGTTTATGGGCAAGGAAGGAATTAAGAGGAAGGAAGATTTTTTTTAAAAAAAAAAAAAGAGAGAGGACTAAAGTCTAAGCACAATCCAGAGCAAAAGGAGTAATAACCGTGAGCTTTCAAATATCAAAGCTATGTAAACATTAGTTTGAGGTAGAAATCACTTTATTGTAGTACAGGAGGACTTACAATGAGGTATTAACATGTTTTTATCATGGTTGTTTCATGCTAAAATAAAGATGGATCTACGTCCAGAAACATTTTACAGTTTTTCTTGATGCTGCAACTGAAAATTAATATCATATGAGCAAAGTTATAAACAGAAGAAGGGAAAGCTTTTGATTTGCCTAAATCAGCAGCTTTAGGCAGCTTTTCTTTTAGGCTAATGCAGCTTTCTCCCTGTTGTGGCACAGACAGACATGAGCATCTTTAAAATTCTGTACTGTAACCATTAGTTACAGGTAAGTATGTATGATTTGAATGTCTCAAAATTCATTTATCTTGAGAAGCATAAGCAAGACAGGTTTTGTTGGCAGAGGCCACGTCTTTTATTAAACCGATTAATGCAGTTGAAAAAATCTAGAAAACTTTTTTTGCTGTTTAAAGCATGGTTGAAATAAGCCAGTAATATATTTGGCTTTTGTGATTCGTGTTTAATATTATTTTGGGATTATTTGGCCTTACCTCAGGAGATTCATTTGATGACTTTAGCTGTTTAATTTTAGCAGTGAATCCCCAGCTTCTGTCCTGTTAATTAGTAGATAAGCTCAGCTATCTAAGGCAGCATCAGTTTAGTAAGCACTCTTTGTAACACTTCATATTTCAGGGATTTCCCTTCTGACCCGCTTATGATACTAGCAAAAGCAAACTTTATCTGTGGCTGCGTCGTTCTGTGTTCACAGTGTATCCAAATCCTCATTACAAATCAATTAGTCTGGTTTTGAGCCTTTTAGATTTAGGATCACAGGATTAATGAAAAGAAAATGAGTGGATAGCAATATCATTTCATATGGAGATAAGGAGACTGAGAATGAGGGAGGATCTCGAGACATCTGAATAAAGAATTTCCTCATTCTGTCAGTGACGTTTTATGGGATATAGAGGGAAGATTATGGGAATATTCATGACCAGATCAAGAGGCGTAATGAGTTATATGAACCAGCTTATCTTTTAGGTAAACATAGGGTAAATGGGAAGTAGAATAGCCATTCATTGCCCATAGGCCTGTGAATTTTACTGTTCTGAAGATGGAAACAAGGGTTTAGTTACAGTTATTCTTCATTGATTCCATTTGATTTTTGATCAGTGTTTAACAGGTGCTGGAAGAATTATGTATTTGTAACTTCAGGTCTCCATTAAAACTACCAAAGACCACGTCATCTTTCTGGAGTCCGGTGTAAGCAATAGTATACATTTAAACCTCTGCAGTACCATATGATAAGAGTGTAGTACATTAACAGCCTTCTGCTGTTCAACCTGTTAGAAAAATAATTTGCTAGCAAGCTGACTGCTTTTAACCTGTAGCTTACTTGCAGATAGAAAGGCATTGTATCACAAAACCTAGAAAGAGCAACAGGTCACCTGTGTCTGTCCCTTAATTTACTTATATAGCAAGTATTCTTATTGGAAATCTGAGTGATGTTCTGGGTTTGACACGTTGCTAAATCTCCCTCAAAACAAAAGGTACTATAGTTTACAAGTGTAAGTCACTAATATTTTGTCCATGTGTCAATCAAACCCCTGCAAATGTGGGTACTCAGCTTGTGCATTTCACAGAGAGAACTTCCCCAAATAAAAACGGGTAACATCCAACTTGAATTGTAACAATTAATTGTTGTTCCAAATGCAGTATCCCATGGTGCTGATGAAACTATGGACAGTTATCCTAGAATTGCAGACCCTGCACTTGCTCTCATTATATGAGTTCGACCCGAGCATTTATATTGACTGGCTTATTAAGATTAGTATTGTGTAAATGCGTAACTCTGCCATTAGCCTATTTAAAAAATAAATCAATTTAGCAGGCTGCTTCTCTGTGCTACAGAATAGACTTGTGGGAAAATGTTACAGATTGGCTGGGGTCTGCTGCTGCAAAAGGCTTTGCTACTGCTAAGAATACAGGGCATAGCATGAATAATTGCTGTTATTTGGCAGTCATTGTAACTGTTCTTTTTAAGAATAGCCAGCATGTTTTTTCAAAGTATTAAATTACCTCAAGACCTCATAATTATTACAGTTAAGCAATCATTTCAATTCAGTCCAAGTATAAAAACTAATAAAGTGCTCATAATATGGAGGCAATTTTAATATGTCTGTTCTCTGAGCAAACACAGCTGATTCAGTGTATTCTGATGGGATACATATTGTCTGTCCTCTTATTTTAATATGCCCTAATCAGAAAATTAAAATAGATTTTGTAGGCACAAACCTTTTTTTAATGGTGAAATAATAATTACAGATTTTTGCTGATGCTGTTAATTTTCAGTACTGGTTAGTGAGAGGTTGAGAAGGGAAAATATTTGTATTTAATACTGCTCAATCAGCCTGCTTTCGCTGACTCTAATGGCTTGATCAATATAAAGAATGTACTTGAGGAAAGCATGTAGCAATTTAAAAAAAAAATATTCACATCAGAAATAAAGCTACTGAAAGCACAACATGAAGAGATCTTCTGGGTCCTGAGATCTAATCTCCAGTTATCACTGGCAACTGCTGCTCACTTTGAAAGGTGAGGTCCAGGATTATTAATTTCCAAAAATACGTCAGCTCTGTCCAAGATAACAGGATGTTATTTCAAAGGCTACTTTTGTAAACATACATAGAGCATCAGTATTGGAAGCGGAGCTAAGCAGTTGCCTAAATAAATGCCATAGAATTAATGTTTTCATTACACGAGAGGTTTGTATACTGACACGCAAACAATACATATTCTTTTTTTATTTAAAAAGGTAGCAATGAAAACACTTTGAATGTGCTTGGCAGAAGTGATCGTGGGACTACTT